TCGTAGAAGCCACAAGATCAACCGTAGAAGACCTCAACCCCGTCCAACACGATGATAACGATCACAACAAGAAAGCTTTCATCGGCCACAAGCTCCAAGAACCAGGTAAATTCCTCAAATTTTTAAAGGATAACGTAGACCTATTTGCTTTTTCCCATGCAGACATGCCATGTATACCAAAGGAGATAGCAACACACAAGATGAACGTCGACCCATTCCACCCCCTAGTGAGACAAATTGGGCAAAAATTCAACGTCGCCATAAACGACGGAGTCCGCGAAGAAGTAGAATAGTTGTTGGAAAATTGCTCCATCAGGGAGTCAAGATATCCTCAATGGGTCGCCAATATGGTCATGGTGAAAAAGAAGAATGGGAAGTGGCGGATGTGTGTGGACTTCACAGACCTAACAAAGCCTGCCCGAAAGATTCGTTTCCACTTCCTCATTTGACCAACTCATTGATGCAATGGACGGGCACGAACTGCTCAATTTCCTAGACGCATACTCAGGCTATAACCATATCCTCATGGAAGAGGAAGACCACATTCATTACTCATCAGGGAACGTACTGTTATAGAGTGATGCCTTTAGGACTTAAAAACGCAGAGGCGACGTATTAGAGGTCGACAAGAATGTTCAAAGACGAGCTCGGCAAAATAATAAAAGTCTATATCGATGATATGTTGGTCAAGTCGAAAAAAAGGAGGATCACATCGACCACCTGAAAGAGGCCTTCGGCATACTCAGACGATACATATGAAATTGAACCCCGAAAAGTGCACTTTTGGAGTAACCTCGGGAAAGTTCCTCAGTTTCTTGGTATCACAACGAGGCATCGAGGTCAACCCCAACCAAATCAAAGATATAGAAGGAATACTGGAGAACCTCACTAGAAAGAAACAAGTACAAAAGCTGACCGGCTGCATAGCCTCCCTGTCGAGGTTTATCCCACGATCCTCTGATAGATGACATAAATTTTTTGGTGTGCTCAAGAAAGACAATAGACTCCAATGGAACTCCAAGTTTGTCGAAGCCTTGAAAGAATTAAAGGCACACTTATCTTTTCCTCCACTTCTCGCCAAGGCAAAACTTGGTAAGCGTCTCCTCGTCTATCTGGTCATATCTGACGTGGCCGTGAGTGCGGTCCTAGTCCGAGAAAACAAAGTACGCAATCTCTCATTTATTATATTAGTAAAACTCTGGTTGATGCCGAGACGAGGTATCCACACCTCGAGAAGCTAGCCCTGGCTTTGGTCGTAGTTTCACAAAAGTTTAGACCTTATTTCCAGTGCCATCCTATCTCGATAGTAACGACCTTTCCCCTGAGGAGTATTCTGCACAAACCCGAGTTGTTGGGCATATTGGCCAAATTGGCCATAGAATTTAGCGAGCACAATATAACCTATCAGCCGCGAACAGCGATAAAGTCGCAAGTGCTTGGCGACTTCGTTGGCGACTTCAGAACAAAAGTAATGCCTGAAGTAGAAAAGGAAGCTTCCCACACTTCCCCCAAAATACACGACCTATGGGTGTTATATACAGATGGCACCTCTAAGGCGTGGGGGTCGGGACTGGGCCTCGTGCTCGAGGTCCCAACAGGTGAAGTAATTCGCCTGTCCATAAGATGCCCAAATATGACTAACAACAAAAATGAGTACGAGGTCGTGATTACAGGATTAAAGTTAGCGCTCAAGTACAGAGCGAAGCGAGTTGTCCTACGGTGCGACTCCCAGCTCGTCGTAAATCAAGTTACAAGGACTTTCCAAATCAAGGAACAAAGACTGCAAAAATACAAGGCCGAGATCTGCAAGTTGTTACCCGAGTTCGATGAATGCCAGCTTGATCAAATCCCTAGAGCACAGAATATTAAAGTAGACGGCCTTGCCAAACTAGCAGCGGCCACTAAAAGCATAACCGGAGAAGGGAACGTGGTCACTCTCCTTCACTCGTCGATCGGCCAAATCGAGGTACAAACTATAATCCTAACTTAGGGGCGCAATTGTATTGTCACATATTTGCAGGAAGGAGTGCTCCCAAACGATAAAAAAGAAGCCAAGAAACTTCGAATACAGGCGGTCAAGTACAGCGTCATCAATAACGACTTATACAAAAGAACATATGGCGGCCCCTAGAAAAATGCTTAGGCCCAAACCAGAAGCAGCGCGTCCTCAAGGAAGTTCACAAAGGTCACTACGGAGCTCGTACCAACAATCGAGCTATTGTTAGATGTCTCAGACGAGCAGGCTACTACTGGACCACAATGAAAAAAAGGCTATCTACTTCGTGAAAATATGTGAGTAATGCCAAAAATATGCCCCCATGATCCACCAAACGGGCAAACACCCCTACTCAGTCACCTCGGTCTGGCCTTTCTTCAAGTGGGGAATGGACATCATCGGACCCCTCCCAGTGGGATGAGGTAATGTATGATTTCTTTTGGTTTTAACTGACTATTTTTCCAAGTGGGTAGAAGCAGGTGCATTCGCCCAATTATGTGAGCAAGAAGTGATCACCTTCATATGGAGGAATATTGTGTGCCGTTTCGGCCTCCCCAAAGAAATCAGTTGTGACAAAAGGCCTCAATTCACTAGAAAAAAGATTGTCGAGTTCTTCGAGAAATGGAGTATCGAAAGAATACTCTTCATGCCATATCATCCCGCGGGTAATGGGCAAGTGGATTCCTCCAACAAGTTAATATTGAATATCATGAAGAAGGAGCTTGAAAACGCCAAGGAATTGTGGCCAGAGTTGTTGTCAGAAGTGCTATGGGCATATCGCACAATGCTAAAAACAAGCATAGGAGAAACACCGTACTCACTAGTCTATAGGACTGATGCAGTAATGTCGGTCGAGTTCGGAGAGCCAAGTCTAAGGTACGCACATGAAAGCGGGCCAAGAAATGACGAAAGTAGGAGGTAAGACCTCGACGAGGCTGAAGAATAAATAGATATGGCTTACATAAGAATGGTCGCTCAAAACTAACAGGCAGAGCGATACTACAGCAAAAATCCAAGATCAGACCGCTCAAAGTTGGAGACTACATACTCAAAGCCAAGACACATGAAAACAAGGACCCACGAGAAGGAAAGCTAAGGACTAATTGGGACGGCCCATAAAAATCACGGCGGCAGTAAGCAAAGGGTCGTTCCAACTAGAAACAATGGAGGGGAAACTATTACGAAACAACTGGAACATCGACCACCTCAAGTACTTCAACTTCTATGGAAAAATATTCTCTAAGCCGTACTCTTTTTCCCTCACCTGAGTTTTGTCCCAATTGGGTTTTCTCGAGAAGGTTTTTAACGAGGTGGCAAGGAGGACATTTCGAAGTTAAAGCATGAGTAGGTAAGATTACAAGTTGGCAAGTCCATTTCTCGACCCCTCGAATACTTCTCTAGGACGAACAATAAAGGTTCTAGATAGACTGGGACTAGAATACCAGCCCGAAAAAACATGTAAACTTCTCCAATGTATATATGTAAAGCAAAGCATACAAACACATGATGTTCGGCCATGTCTCCACCTTTAACTCCGCACCAATAAATGCGCTCACATTCGACCTCGTTCGAATTAACTAAGAGTCAACATTCAACCTCACTCGAATCGACTCACATTCAACCCTGTTCGAATCAACTACGAGTCAACATTCAACCTCGCTCAAATCGACTCACGTTCGACCTTATTTTGTTTATTGATTAAAACAGACTTTCCATTTCATCAAAAACTGTCTTTACAAAACCAGGTTGATGTTGACCATCAGCCTCCTAATTATAATTACAATTAGCTAAACTAATTACACTTTCAAGAAAATTACAACTACTCCATGGATACTTACTCAATCCTTGCAAAGTTGGTTGCCATTTGCTATTTGATCTTCCTTGTACATGCATGTGTAGGGCAATCTCTCTGCATATCCCATCTGGCATATATCTGCCTTTGTTGAATCTGAGGGAGTTCCTTTCTCTCCAAATACAGCAAACTACCATGGCAAAAGTTGCAGTAGTTATAGCTGCCATGCCAGTTTTCCTTTTAGCTATGTTACAGATCCATTCTATCTCTATTTGCCAACTGCCTATTCTCCTTGTAATTCCCAGCCATTTGAGTATTCTATCCCATATTATGTTTGTACATGATCATTCAAAAAATAAGTGATCAAATGTTTCTATGCTCTTAGCACAAAAGGCACATTCTTGGGACACTTGAATCCTAAATTTATGTAGTCTATCCACAATGGCTAGCCTCTGATAAATTGCCAACCATAAATGAAACTTAAATCTTGGATGGATCTGTGGATGCATATGTATGCTCTTCCAGCCAACCTTGGGAAATTAAGGCAGCATCTAAATATGGGCTCTCTGAATTTGAAATCTTCCTTGCTTCTCCATATCTACTAATGTTGTAGTAAGGATGGTCTGCATTGTGCTCACTTGTAACAAATCTTTCTTTGCTTTTATGATCTTCCTGACCACCCAAGCTGCTGTTTTAAGTGTGTCCATTGTGTCAATCTTCCTTCTGCTTTATGTAATAGCAATGAGTCCATTTGATCCATAATGCATCCTTTTTCATAGTCAGTGCCCATAATTATTTCAGGATTGTTGCTTTATTCCATAGCCTCATGTTGATAACATTTAATCCCCCAGTTGCTTTTGGTTGACTGAACTTGTCCCAAGCTATCATTGCTTTCCTAGATGTAGCACTTGAGCCACTCCAAAGGAATGTTCTGCAAATTATTTCAATCATCTTCATAATCTTCTTAGGCAATATGAATATTTGAGCCCAGTAAGTTTGCATGCCAAAGAGTACAGACTTAATGAGCTGCACTCTTTCTGAATATGATAGCATCCTAGCTGACCAACAATTAACTCTTTCAGTGATCTTTTCCACCAGTGGCAAGCATTGTTGAATATTTAACTTCTTTGCAGACACTGGAACTCCCAGGTACTTGAAAGGAATTGATCCCTCTGTATACCCTGTTAGGTTGAGCATTGAGACTTTGATGTCCTAGTGTACTCCAGCAATGTAGATAGAGCTTTTATTTGCATTTGTCTGAAGGCCAGATACAGCAGAAAATCTTTGAAAAGTTTCCTGCATTTTGGTTATTGAGGTTATATCTGCCCTACAAAACATAAGTAAGTTGTCAGCGAAACAAATATGAGTCACTCCCAGCTTTTTGCATCTTGGATAGTATTTGAATTCCTTTGTGGCAGGTAGTTGATTCATCTCTCTTTGTAAATACTCCATTGCAATGACAAATAGGTAAGGAGACATGGGGTCTCCTTGTCTAATCCCTCTCTTGGCCTGGAACGGTTTGGTGAGGCCACCATTGAGCACCAATGAGTAAGACACTGTTGAAACACACTCCATTACCCAATGGATGAACTTCTGGGGGAACCCAAGATCAGTTAGCATACACCTAAAAAACTGCTAATCCAATGAATCATATGCCTTTTTAATGTCTACTTTCAGCACACATCTGGGTGATAAACCTTTCCTATTATAGCCTTTGAACAACTCATGGCTAAATAGGATGTTATCAATGATATTCCTTCCTTCAATGAATGCAAACTGTGACTTCCCAATGATCACGTCTATTACCTTCTTTATTTCTAGTCAGTATCTTTGCAACAACCTTATACAATGTAGTGCAGAATGCTATAGGGCTGTAGTCTTTCACTTTAGATGGAGATGGGATCTTAGGAATCAGTGTAATAGCAGTACAATTCTATGTTGGCATCATTCTACCTATGTGAAAGAAATATGACACAACCCCATATATGTCCCACTTCATAGTCTCCCATTTCTTGGTGAAGAATTCTATAGGAAAAGAATCCACTCCAGGGGCTTTATCCTATGGCATATCCCTAATTGCTTCATCAATCTCTTCATGAGTTATATCCATTATTAGTTCATGTTGATATTGTAAAGTGAGATAGTTTCCTGCCTTAATGATACTAGTATTAGGGCATGACATTAATCCATTAGCATTCCCCATTAGCTTTATAAAGAAATCAGTAAACTCCTTTTCCACAGCCTTTGGATTAGTGATATTTATTCCCAAGTCATTGTATACAAAAGTAATATTATTCTTGTTGACCCTTATTTTCAGCTGTGCATAGAAATATTTAGAGTTGGAGTCACCATAATCAATCCATGTTGCTCTAGATTTTTGCCTCAATATTCTTTCTTCTATTGTACTCCATTTCTCCAAATCACTCATATTCTGCTTCTCTTGCTCAATTAACAACTGATTAAAGGGATCAGTGACTAGAGCTACTTGAACACATTTTAAACTATTCCTAATTTGAGTCAGTGTTTGTTCATAGCTTGACATAGCCTTGTTCAGACCCTTAGCCTCTTCTTTTAGTCTTTTTAGCTTCAGCCATATAAGTTCCATAAGATCATGCTCTACCTGTTGTTGCCATACTCTATTCACCATAGGAGTGAAGTCCTTATGGTCCATTGTCACCATGTATAACTTAAAAGGCCTTGGGTAGATAGTTTTTCTCTTCCATAATTGAACTACAATTGGGGAGTGATCAGATACTCCAGGTTCCACAAAATTAGCTTCTAGATGTCTATAAGTCAGAGTCCAACTGAAATTTTCAAAAGCCCAATCAATTTTACTATAAACTCTATCAATTAGCATTCTATTTGTTGTACCAGGTGAAGAAGCACCCTTTTGTTCTTAATGGGTTCAGTTGCATATTATCAATACACTACTTGAAATCATGCACCTCATTAGCTGTCACTGGTTGTCCTAATATGTCCTCAGTAGTTAACACATTGTTGAAATCCCTACTGATAAGCCATGGTATTTGAATCTGGCCACATAGTATCTGCAATTCATGCCATAGGCTTGCCCTTTCCTGCACCTTATTCCTAGCATATATTGTTGTCAACATAATCAGGGAGTTTGTTGTTTGAACTTCCAATGAGCAATGAATGAATTGTTCATGTATTTGGAGTATCTTAACTATCAGGTGTGTCTTCCAGAAGAGCCAAATCCTTCCTTTTATAGCTTTAGTGTAGTTGCAACAGTAGCCCCAATCTCTATCTACCTTGGTCACTATACTTTTTGCCCTTCTTTCCTTTACTCTAGTTTCTAGACACCCAAAGATATCTATTTTATTCTTTTGCCGAAAAAATCTTAACTCCTTCTGTTTATAGGGCTTGTTCATCCCTCTTATATTCCAAGTGCGCGCAATTGGTTTGAGGGTATGATCAATCATAGAACCATCTCTTTTTGAAGTGCTTGGCACACACTCTTCCAAAATCTTGAACCTATTTATAGTGATGCCCTCATCATTATGAGACTGTTGTTGCTGCAGGACTATAGCTATGCTGACTCCTGCACTCTTCATTTCTACTGATTACTTGTGTCACTTGTGTAGGGGTATCTTCAACTACTGCTTTTTGTTTACCTTTTCCTGCCTCTACTTGTTGACTCTCTTCTCCTTTCCCATATATTTTCCCATCTTCTCTTGTTATCCCTTTGGCTTTCATTCCTGCATTGTTTTATTCTTTCTAACTCTATTCCTTCTTTTTGGAGCTTTAAACTCAACCTCTTCATTGTTCTGCTGCTTATTCCTCCAACATTCAAAATTGTCATGGCCAAAATGGATACATTCACTGTAGAACTTTGGCTTCCATTCATACAGAATTTACTGTTGCATAGTTCCTGATGGATTAACAATCTCTATACTCTCCAGCATTGGCTTAGTGATATCAACCTTCACTAAGACCCTTGCATATGAAATTTTGTTAAGATCAGTCGTGAATATGTCAGTTTACCTAGGAATTCCAATAGCACTAGCCACTTTGCTAAATGCATCTGCAGTCCAGTATCCAATACGTAAGCTAGGGAAATGAATCCACAATGGAATAGTTGTAATGCATTTAGGGTCAAAATGAAATTCTCTTTCCCAGTTCTGCAGTATGAATGGTTTGTTATGGTACGAGTATGGACCTGCTTGCATTACTAGATCCCTATCTTCAATTGTTGAGAATCTAAAAACATAGTAGCCATCACTATGATACAGAATTTGAGGTTTCGATACAAAATCCCAAATTGAATCAATATAAGCCTCCATAGATTTCTCATATGAAGTATCACCTAGAACATAACCAATTAAGGTAGTCGCCCAGTGGCCATTCAACTCTCTCATATCTTCCTCAATAATTTGTACAACAATCTTACCATCTCTATGACTTGGTGGTACATATTCCAGTCTCATGCCCATCTGAGCTTATGTCTCTCTCAGCGCACGTTTAGCCAAGGTAGGCTAACTTGCACCATCGATGGCAAGAAGGCGGAAACAACCATCAATGGTGAGCTCTATTGTAACTCTGGCGACCACAGGAATTAACTCATTCGAATTAATTAAGAGTCAACATTCGACCTCACTCGAATCGACTCACATTCGACCTTGCTCAAATTAACTAAGATTCAATATTTTACCTCACTCGAAATGACTCACATTCAACCTCGTTCGAATTAACTAAGAGTTAACATTCGACCTCGCTCGAATCAACTCACATTAGACCCCGTTCGAATCAACTATGACTTAACATTCAACCTCACTCGAATCGACTCACATTCGACCTCGTTCGAATTAAGTAAGAGTCATCATTTGACCTTGTTCGAATCGACTCACATTCGACCTCGTTCGAATTAACTAAGAGTCAATGTTCGACCTCGCTCGAATCGACTCACATTCAGCCCCGTCTGAATCAACTACGAGTCAATATTCGACTTCGCTCGAATTGGCTTACATTCGACCTCGTTCGAATTAATTAAGGTCAACATTTGACCTCGCTCGAATCGACTCACATTCGACCTCGTTCAAATTAATTAAGACTCAACATTCGACCTCGCTCGAATTGATTTACATTCAACCTCGTTCGAATTAACTAAGAGTAACAATCGATCTCGCTCAAATCAACTCACATTCGACCTCGTTCGAATCAATTGACACTCACATTCGACATAGTTCGAATTAGTTAAGAGAGATGATTCCACCTCGCTCGAATTCAACTTACATTCGGCCTAACTTGAACTTGATTCATAGAATCTCATTCGATTCAATTACGACAACGTTCGACTTCGAGCGAAGTAATCAAGGACACTCAATCATGATCGAGCTAACGCCTACCAACACAATTCTTTTGATCAAGGCAATCAATTGAAGAAAATATTCAAGGAAAAACAGGAGACTCAAAAATAAACAACAAAAGTAGCATTCCAAAAGGTATCTTACAAGGGCCGAACAAACGCCCACAAAAATAAAAACATAGATTACCAAAAAAACACTACTCGGCAGCATCGCCCCCACCATCGTCCCCATCATCGTCCTTACCATCGGAGTATTCATCATCATACCATGCACTAGACTCGAGCCCGTCCAAATCTCCACCATCATCGACCCCCGACATAGTAGGATCGTAACCACAAATGACCTGAGCTGCACGTGTCTTAGTACAAACATCTTCAAACTCAACCTCAGAAACCCTCACTACCGTCATCAAGCCCCTGAATATGTCTAGTTGAGCCTCAACATGAATCCACTTTTCGTACAAACTCCGTGGAACATTGGGATAAGTGGAAGAACGAGATAAAGACAGTTGAGCCAGTAGCCGGGCACTTTCGGCCTCAAGAATGACGATCTGCTCATTTAGGTCTGAAATCTCTTTCTCAAGACCACCAATCTGTTTGTCAAACCTCACCTCCTTGAGCGCAGCCATCTCTGCATCATTCGCCCGCTCAGATCTAAGGACACGGATGGTATCCTCTAATGCCGCCATCTTCGCCAAAGCTGCCACCCTGGCCTCTTCGGTCCTCTCCGAATCCACCACTATTTTGATCAACTAGTCACTAAGGCCGTTAGCTCTGATCGAGCTCTACTATAGCTTGGCCCGCAGGGATGCCACTTGAGCTTGAAGGTCGACACACTCTGTTGCGACTCCCCTGCTCACCTCGAGCTCCTCATACTTGGCCGTAAGTTCTCCCTCGAGCTCGCTACATCTGCCGATGACCCTCACAAGCTCATCGTCCTTCTATTTCAGCTCGTCTCTAAGAGACTGGAATTTACCGTTCGTTCTGAATCGGCGGCATAACTCATGATGTTTGGCACGATACTCTTTATACTTAGACTCCATCCTTTTGAACAAATCCCTCTTCTTCGCTTCTCGGCGGGCGCACTCAATTTCCAAAATGAGGGTTTGATTAACAAGCAAAAAATAGAAAGTAGTCAGCAAAAACGAATAATGAAAAGGAAAGGAGAAAAAGATATGAAAACTCAAAATTCAAAAACTTACCCGCAAAGCCATTCCGGATATGCCCAACGATAGATCGGCATCCTTAAACG